AAAATTTGAAGTGTGAAATCCTGACTGTTTAGTTGTTGCTGTTGGGGATTTTTTTGGTTGTTTTTTTTTTTGTGGTTTTGGTTCTTTGTGCTTCTTGTATTTGCCATTATCATGGCCCGTGAGCAGTGCAGAACCACCATGTCAGGGCACTCCATCCTTGCCTTCTTCCATCCCCTCCTTGTAGCTGTTACATCACAAAAATCTCATCTACACAAACACACAGGAGGTTCCATCCCATGGGATGTGGGGAAATCCCAATACCCCAGTCAGAGGCACGAGCCCCTGCCAGGGCTGCCCACTAGCAGTTTTGGCTCCATAGGGTGGCACCCCTGCTATGGGCAGCAACTCTCTGGGTCTCTTCATTGTCTGAGGAGAGTCTCTGCATGGGAATGCATGGGAAGAATATCTTTGGATTGTGCAAGGTTTGTTCAAGAGTGATGCTTCCCTTTCAGGCAGGGAAAGGCAAGGATTAGGGAGGAAAAAGCCTTGGAAAATAGAGGKGTAAGGTTKAGTGYAAACAGATTGCTGGACACTATKCTTGCCTGRCCATACTCTGTGCCTCATGARTGKTATCTGTCCTGTCTTCTCAATAAGMACCCTTTTAAACCTCATTTAAACCCCCTTTTCCTGTGTCAGAGACTCTCTGCTTAATTACAGGGACAGGTCCGAGTGCAGCACATGGAATGGGACCAGGAGCCATGGGATCCCCGTGTCAGAGGTGCAGCAACTGCAGGGGGTGTGGGAGTGAGTCTGGGGTCACTAGGGGAGATGGAGCTGGGCCAGCCAGGGCATAGGTGACATGGCCTGGGGTCAGTGATGCTCTGAGGTCAAGACCCAAGGAGGCTGGAGAGAGCAGAGACATCCCAGACAGATTTCTGTGTGAGGAAATTGGTCTGTAAAAGCATCTGCACTGTGATGTCAGGGACTCACATTTTCAAGTGGCAGCACTGGTGCTCGCTGTGTCCATGTGTGCCCTGTGTGTGTGTCGTGAGTGCCCAGGATTTATGCACATCTGAACACACGGGGTGTGGGTGTGTCCTGAGAGTGACTGCAGGAAATGCCTGCTCAGCCTGGATCCTGCTGGATCCCAGGGCATGGATATGCCCAAATTCACCTCCCCCCTAAACGGGGATCCAGCCTCCCCCAATGCAACCATCACCACTGACACGACCCCTCTGGGTACAGATGGAAATGATTTCCATCTGTCAGCCCAACATCACTGCCTCACAAAAAATGCCAAGGAAAGAGGGAAATCACAGCTATGAACCCTGGGTTGTGGTGGCAGCTGCATCCCATCAGTTGTGAGTCTGTCTGATACAGGTTCCATAGCCCCTCTTCCCTTCTTATCTCCTCCATTTCTATCCCACCAATTGCCTGTTTTCCTAAAGGAAAATGTGCAATTACTCCTCAAATCTAGCCAACGCTTTGCTGCCTCCCTCCTTCCTGCCCTCTCGAACCTAATCTGTGATCAAATCCACCCACCAAAGTCAAATGTCTTTCCAGGGATGAACTTTCACACAATCTTGGAAGCAGTTTTCTAGTTTTGTGGTTGGTGAGAATAAAAAATTAATGTGTTTTTTCCCGTGTAGAAGCATCAGTCACGCATTGTGTGTACTCTTAATTCACAGGGTCATAGAAATTAGAGACTGGAGAGCCCAGGGGAGAGAACTGCTCCAGCTAAGGAGCTGTGCAAAATGGTTCTCTGCGCTGCATTAAGGCAGGAAAGGTCTTGGCACATTCCTGAACTGTCATGTTGTTCTTGTTTTCTTGTCACCTTCTTCCTGAAACACAGGTGTGGGCATTGTCTTTCCCGGAGAAAGTAGCTTATTAATTTTAATGAGCAAGGAAGATGTGTGCTGTTGAGGAACAGGATCAAATTAAAATATTATTATTATGTAATCAGATATGGCCATTTCACAGTGACATTTAAAGAGCCATGTCCTTATTTTTAGTTAAAACCTGCACTGAGCTGGCTTATGATCTAGCAACATCCCTGTCTGAGGATCTGACCCAGATTAGATTTATTTGATTCTATTCTCAGGCTATTATATACTCTCCCATTATGGATCAAGTCTTAATGCCAATCAAACAGTGTTGGAAAACCTCCAGATGGTTTGAGCTGAGTGGGAATGGCCCTGTTCAGACCACGTGCTTAAGGACAGAGTCTGCTCTCTGTATAAGGTATAAATCCAGCAGAATGTCACTGAAATCAATTGGGACACAGCTGATCTATGGAGATGGCATTGGCAGCAGCCATCGACTGTCCCCGAGCCCCAGTCTGTGACCTCAGCTCAGCCAGAGCTCCTGGGATCCTCACATGGTGCTCAAGACAATGGAGACACTGGGTGCACTGATTCTGGGGTGGAACATCACAGTTTGAGTGAAAAATGTCAGGTTTGCTGTACAATCATTGCTGTATGTTTGTCTATCCCTATGCAAGAGGGAGCAGCAGGAATCACAGAATCACAGAATCACTGGGGGTGGAAGAGACCTTCAAGATCTTTCAGTCCAACCCATGCCCTAAGACCTCAACTAAACCATGGCACCAAGTGCCACAGGATCCTGCTTCCCTCTGCCATCCCAAAACACCCCTGCATTTCTGTGTGGAAACTGGGACTTGCCCTGTGCTGTGCTGCTCCCACCATCCCAAATTCTGGCCATTCCCTCAGATCTTCCCTCTCTCACATGATGCCTCCTCCAGGMTTCCCAGAGTGGGGTGTGTCTTTGCTGCTCACCTTGTTCAGGTCCTGAAATTCAGCCCCTGCTTTGTGGATTTAAAAGTTCAGCAAAAGGGCAACCCCATGCAAAGATTTAGAGGGTTCCTAAGATACTGCTGCAACAAATCTTTTGCTCCCACTCCAAGCAGTGGAGGTCTGGACATGAGAAGAAATCCACAAGGAGGAAGAAAAAAAAAACCATTTTCATTAGCAGTGACTTGCTGACGATGTGGTTTCTCTGTCAAAACCTGTGACCTGAATTATCACCGCCTGTGCTGCCGGAGGGTTTATTGGAGAATGGATAGCTTTGCAGGGAAAGGAAATCAGGCTGGTGAAGAGATCATTTTTTAAAATAAAAAGAAACAAACCTACTTCCTTACATTGCACATAAGCAAAGAGGACATGATAGAACACTCTTGATGATGAATCAGGCTGCARAGTTCATCTGGTCCATGTGAATGACAGGTCAGGGATGTTCCAAACTACCCTCATGCCCTCAGCAGCTAAAGCCCCCCAAAATACATCCTCCAACCTGTAGTTGCTTGAATGCTGCTTCAGTTTCCAGCAAGCTGAAAAAAACTCCCAACCAACAATCAAAGAAATGTCGTGGCTGAGGATTGTCCTCACACCATCTGCCATTTTTTATTAACATCATCCCAGTGGAGTTCTGCAGCCAGCAGAGGCTTAAGGCTGCTGGCAGCATGGAGCCCTCACTCAGATGATGTTCCCAAGTCATTGACAAAATATCAGGGGTGGAGGAACTTCTTAGGAAGCTGTGAGTGTGACAGCTACACCCTGCCCCTCTTCTGGACAGATGCACTGCCTGAAGGACAGTGAGCAGGCTCAGACACACAATCCCTTTGGTGGGACAGGCTTGGCTGAGCTCCTGGCACTCAAACAGAAAAAGTGAGACTATACTTGGCAGGCAACAAGGCCAAGTGCAAGGTCCTGCACATGAGACAGGGCAATGCAGGCACAAATACAGGCTGGGAGAAGCATGGATTGAGAACAGCCCAGAGGAGAAAGGCCTGGGTGTGTTGGCTGTTGGAGAGTTTGACGTGACCTGGCAATGTGSTCTGGCAGCCCAGGAAACCACTGTGCCCTGGGCTGCATCCAAAGAACCGTGGGCAGCCGGCCAAGGGAGAGTATTTACTGCCCTGGGAGAGTGAAAGTAGAGAGAGCACAGCATCACCTGCAGTGCTTCATCCAGCTCTGGGGTCTTCAGCATAAGAAAGTTGTGGACTCCTTGTGGATAAAGGCCAAGAGAGTTGGGGCTGCTCAGCCTAGATAAAAGAAGGCTCTCAGGGGACCTTAAAACTCCTACTCCTTCCTAAAGGAAGCCTACAAGAGAGCTGGAGAGGGACTTTATCCATGGGTAGATAGAGATAGGACAAGCAGCAATGTCTTTAAACTAAAGGAGAGTAGGTTAAAATAGATATTATGAAGAAATTCTTCCATCTGAGGATGGTAAGGCATTGGAACAGGTTGCCAGAGAAGTTGTGGATGCCCCATCCTTGGAACCTTTGCAATCTGCAGGATATTTRTAACTGATGCCAATATTTCTGTTCATCTTCATTCTTTGAAATGCTGTGGTGGTTTGACCTTGGCTGGATCCCAGGTGCTCATCAAGCCACTCTCCCTCTTCTCAGCTGAGGGAAAATAAGATGGAAAATAACTTAGAGGTTGAGATAAAGCCGCTTAGTAAAACAAAAGCAAAAGTTTACATGCGCTGAAGCAAAGAGAAAAAACGTAATTGTATTCTCTACTTCCCACCAGCAAGTGATGTTCAGCCACTTCCCAGAAAGCAGRAATTCAGCACAAAATTCAATTGCTCCAGACAGCAAACAGTAATTAACAAATGCCCCCCCATTCACCCTGCTTTCCTCAGCTKTTCTATCTGAGYTGATGTTGTACAGTATGGAATATCCCTTGGGTTAATTTGGGTCAGCTGGCCTGGTTGTGTCCCCTCCCAGGACCTTGCCYGCTCCCAGCCCTTTGCTGGGGGAATGTTGAGAGACAGCACTGATGCTGTGCCAGCTCTGCTCAGAAATGCCCAAAACACTGGTGTGTTATCAGCACCTTTCCAGCTACCAATGCCCAGCAGGGCACTGGAAGGGCTGCCAGGGGAAATTAACTCCATCTCAGCCARGCCWCACAACAACATTTCACTTCCTTCTGACCCCAGAGTTCCTGGATTAGTCAGATCTTCCTTTTTTAGAGCACTTCTGCAAACTTGTGACTAAAGGGGAAGTCAACAGACACAATTGAGCTGAGGCAGTCAGAGTGGCCAACAAGCTGAGGGTCCAACCACTCCCAGCCAGGCTCTTTAAGTCAGCTTGGGTGAACCAGAACTTTGTACCCATGTTTGACCCTGGTGAGTACATTTTGTTTAATTTTTTTTTAAAGAACAGTGGGTGGGATTTTGGCAACAAAATGAAGGTCTCAGCCCACCTTAGGTTAATTCTTGCTTTCCTCTTAAAGAACAATTCAACTGATTTTTATCAACATGTAAAAGATCCTAAACAAACATCATCAGTGAAAAGGAGAATACTCAAACTTGTAAATTCTCCTACAGCAACTTCCATTTTTGAAAATGTGTACATGACTGTAGGAGCTTTTTCATACTCCTGGTTGGTCCTACACAGCTCAGTGTTGTGCTGTGTAGATGCACCCAAGCCACGTCTGAGCACACCACGTCAGATACTGAAAGCAGGCTAATYTTATTAATGGACTCTTCCAACCAGACAATCAGTCCTCCTGAAAAGCAGGATGAAGGAGCCAGGAGAGCCTGGCAGCCTCACTCAGGACTGTTGCAGTTTCTTTGTGTGCTCCTGCATCGCTCTGCGTAAATACCCTTTGACTTACAAGTTTAATTTATTTGCTGAAATTAATGCAACAGCACACAGTTACTATGGTGATGTGGGCTCTGACTATCTTAGGCTAAATCCATCCCCACGGGTGWGCTGGTTCCAGCAGTGCCTGAAGTTTGCTGGCTCAAGGAAGCCAAGGTGTGGGAAAGGCTGGATGATCAGGGAATGTGGGTATCACCTAAACAGAAACACTGGCTCTGCAGCAGCTGTGGGCTTTGTTTGGGTGTCTCTATGTACCTACATGCCCCATGCATGGAGGGGACAAGCCCACATGACCTTTAATCTTTATGAAGAAAGCAAAGACACAATTGGAGTCTCCCAGCCTTGCTGCTCATGCACTTGGTGTGCTGCTTTCCTTTTGCCAGGCTCCCTCTTGCCTTTAGAGACAGCAGATAAGGATAGCTCTGAATTWTTCTCTTGACTACAAAAGGTAAGACTTCAAAAGTAGGTAGAATTCACACAGTTAAAAGGTCCTCAAAGTCTCTGAAATACCTTGAATGCTGTGACATCCTCTGTTTCCAGGGCTTCAGGGCATTTCACAGGCGCAGAACTCTTTCATTGGTCTTCTGCATAACAGGCTCAATTTGTAATTACTGGAAGCAAGTAGGGAACTTCCAAGAGCTTTAACAATTTGTCTGTGGCTGGGAAAAGGGTGCACTTAATCAAAGCTGTGGTTTGCAGTGAGTTACCTGCTCAGCTGTTGATGGTGRCTGGCTTTACYCTGCAGCTYGTTCCCTGGAGCCTCAGATACCTCTACACTGCCAYGATGATTTTATGTTGTTCAACCTTTCCTTCGGGAATAAATCTGTGTGTCCAGTGGTGGTTGAGTCAGCGGGTTTGTCTGCCTGGTTGCAGCTGCCTGTGACATATTCTGGAAAATATCAGAGTCGCTCAGATGTGCTATAACGGGGATGGTTTCCCTGCTAGGGTGGCACAGAAATGCTTCCTCTGTTGTGAGATTAAAAAACATCTGCAGAGTTTTCTGCTGACAGGAATGTGTCACTTCACAGCTGGTGTTTGCAGAAGCACCCTGTCATTACCCAAGCACCCTCTCTGCAGCTGTGTGCTGCCCAGGGAAGGGAAGTGGGACCCATTCCACAGCCTTCCTRGCAGATAATTTACCTGCTGCTTGGAACACTAATCTGTGCCAGAACAATATGGACTACCCGGCTGGAAACTTATTTCTAGGTAGATTTTGAAATGTGTCTGTAGATACAGAAATATTGGCAAAATAAGAGGGAAAAAAAAAAAAAAAGAAAAGAAAAAAAGAAAAGAAAAAAAAAAAGAAGACGACTTGGGGATAAAGGGAATTAATTTGTCTAAGAAGTTTGGGATCTTAGGGCTCCCATTTTCTTGAGTAACTTTGAAAACCACAACCATGGATGTATTTGAGTTCTTTAACTATAGAGGGTTATATCTTTGGATGTTCTTCCAATTCCCACTGAGTCTGAAGCTCCTCAGGTGATCTCCAACACCTGACAGAGAGAGAAGAGGRGTCTGTGAGCTGCAGAGATAGTTCTTCATGGAGATCTGTGAGGCTGACAAAATGCTCATCCATGGGTATTGTGAAGAAAAAGAATGAGTATCTCAAGCTGTTTCAAAGATCTTTCCCAGAGAAGGAAGAGGGATGAAAAGTGGAAAGACAGAAAAGAAAGGAAGCTTCAATATATCAAGTTCTCCAGCAACATCAAGACAACAGCTTTAGGATAAATTTGCAGATTGTTTTAACCAGTCTAAAGCAGCACAGCTATCATGCAACAACAAGCCCACTGGGACAGGCACTGATGTGTCTGAGCTTTCAGCTCTGTCACACCTCTGCTTTTCCAAGAGAACTGTCTCCCTTAAAACTTCCCTTTGCAGAGGTCAGCACAGACCCAGCTGGTTAGCATGCTGTGCTCCTTCACATGGACTTTCCTCTTTTCCTTCCTTGTTTCGTTTTCCTTGCAATGAAAGAATTTATTTTAATGCCATTTAAGCTGAAGGAATCTGGCTGTTGTTACCGTGCTCTGTGATTCTGCTGCCCTTCCAGCACAGCACAGCCCTTCCCTCTCTGCAGCTAAAGGAGGAGGAGAGGGGAATGAGATCTGGGCTACACTGARGTGATTATTCTAAAAAGCTCATTGAGTAGTCCATTTGGATGTCACCTAGCATTAAAATGGGAAAGGAATTTGCTCTTTTCTCTAACACACAACACTGGGTTTTGTCTCACTGAAATATAATCCAGGTAACTGCCCCATTCAGAATGTACTTCTAACACTGCAGTTTGGGAGTTCAGCTCTGTTTGACTCCTTAGGTAAACACAGAGAATAAACTGTTCCCCAAAACAAATAGAAAGCAGAAGACTGGACCTCAAAGCYAAAAAACATCCTGTGTAACGACGCAATAGCTGTGGTCTTATCTCTGTGTGTCCACACTGTGTCCGTGTGTCTTGCACAATCTCCAGTCCACATCACCAGCACGGTGAGTTGGGCAGATGAGGGTTTGTGTGTGCCCTGGCCAGTTCAACCCACCCACGTCAGAGAAGAAACAAAGGGAGGATTTCATTATTCAAAACACTCCATAGACATGACAGCCTGAAATTAAATGGAAATGCTCTTATTTAAGGTGAAGGAGCTGGACTTCTGCTAGCAGGCAAAGAATTAAAAACCAGATCCAGGCAGTTGTAAGGCTTTTTCAAGGGTGTGTCGCTTGAGGAGCTAAGATCAGAGGAACCCTGAGTCAGTGAAGGCTTAGATGCTGGYAGGCATTATGTGGGGCAAAAAAAGGGTAAATAGTGGCTGTAAGGCCAGCAGGAGCCTTTGTGGTCACCTCTGCTGAATTCCTGCACAATGCACAGCAGTGTTTCACCAGTGCTTCCCACATGGAGCACGTGGCTCCTGGCTGGGCATGAGCCACTTTAAACAGGCACAGAGCCCATCCAAACTCTCAATTTTGTGTAAAGATACCAAGTGATGGGTAATACCCCACTGCCCTCAAGAAGATGGCAGAGGAGGGGTTTGGATTTGTCCTGGAAAACCTCTCAACCCACTGCTCTCACATCCTAGCTGGGACAAACCAGCTCTTGGCCCCAAATTTGGCCTGGCTCCTGCCTCAGAGGGAAGCTGTGAGCCTCGAGCTTGTTCAGAAGTTGAGCTGTCAGCTGATGTCTCATAGCCAAGAGAAAGGCTTCACACATGTAACAAAGCCCAGCCCTAAGGGGTCAATCCTCTTGAAGGATGTTCCAGAGGTGGTGTCCATCCCTCAGCCTTGCTGGGGGCAGCTGAGAGGAGCTGAGGGTTTGTGTGGGTCACTGTCAACATCAAAGGTGGGACACAACCTCTGTGGTGTCTAAGTGTCTGGTGAACCTTTGTTTTCCTTTTTTCTGAAGTTTTTAGGTCTCACCAGGGTGAGATAGAGAGCTAAAACAAATGTCCAAAGATGCTTAAGCACTGAGTGAAATATGAGTCAGGATCCATCCTCTGTCCCTTTTTTTTTTGTGCTGTTTGTTCATTAGCCTCGTCRTGATGAACTTTCACCTCACAAATTATTCAGATTCACTTTCCAGACACTGCCCCTCTTTGGCCATGGTGCAGTTGGGGTTGTACCTAGGAAGTGTAGGGCAAGTTTTGACTCAAAATACTCCCACACCTGCATAAGGAGGGATGAAAAAAAGTTGGTTAAAGGTGAATTCAARAGCTACAAGGCAAAATCTGTTTGGGCTGCAGGGTGTGAGGTACTTGGAACCCTGTGCTTTGTTTGGTTTCTGTTTCTTGACTTCTCACCGAGCATCTGAAGCCCCTCCTTGGACTTTCATTGTGCTGTGATCTGCAAGCACAGAACCCTGCAGCTCTGGGCAGGACTACAGTCACCCACATGGCTCCCAAAAGCACTCTAGAGATCCTCACTGATTTCCTCAATTATACAAAATTCAAAACCAGGTGAATTGAATCTTTCCCAAATCTCAAAACCAATGTTMATATACCATTCAATATTGTAATAAMTGTTGGAAAGCTTTGTGTCTGCTTTCTGAAGCTTCGGGCACATTCAATACATGTTCCTAGCAAAACCAAAAGTAGTGTATATACAAATAAAAAAAAACAATTAATATTCATTTACATKATATTTAACTATTACTATAGAAAGATAAACATTTAAGTACATAAATATTAATACAATTCATCAAAACTAGAAATATCATTTAGAAATATTATTTTTCTAAACTGTAAGATATTCCCATGTATTTTTTGTCCCTGGGATAGTGTTAATTTTCTTTGTAGCAACTCATATGGTGCTGCTGTGTTTCRGATWTGTGCTGAAAACCAATGTTTTCATTGCTGCTGAGMAGAGCTCACACAGAGCCAAGGGATTTTCTGCTCCTCACCCCACCCCACAGCGAGGGGGGAATGAGGAGSTGGGAGGGGACACAGCTGGGACAGGTGACCCCAACTGACCCAGGGGATATCCCATACCGTATGGGGTCACACTCAGCACAAAAAGCTGGGGAGAAGAAGGAAGAAGGTACATT